CCTAGTAGCGTCCTTGCTCCTAGTAGTAAGGCCAGGAGCCCCTAGTAGCTTCTTGCTCCTAGTTGTGTTTTTGTTTTTGTGCCGTGGGTGTGCCTCAAGCAAACCCCCTCACCGCAAACTTGAACCCTGAACCTGCGCGGCTTGCGGGGAACCACCACACGGTTGACGTGAGCCGTTGTAGTGACCATGCCCTAGTGATTTCTTCTTGATGGTCCTCAGATGATATAAGACCTTGTTATGTATTCAACCCTTCTGTATCAAACCATGAACTTCTAGGGTCCATCCAGGCCTAGCTTCTTGCTCCTAGTAGTAAGAGCCCCTAGTAGCGATGCCCTTGCTCCTAGTGGCTTCTTGCTCCTCCTCCCCCCCCCGAAAGGTCCTAGTAGCCTTTTGATTCATTTCTAAATTAAATTCTATTTAAATTTAGATTAGTTTCTATTCTAATTCTATTGAATTCTTGTTTATAGTAGCTTCTTGTTACTAGTAGTAAGGCCATAAGCCCCTAGTAGCGTCCTTGCTCCTAGCTTCCAGGCCAATTTGCCAGAGGTGTTTCATTCATTGGATGTTTCACCCAGTTTTTCGCCGCCACACGGATTCCCGGCTCCAGAGTTGGTCCGGCCCAGTCCCCTTCGATCCGCAGAGGCGCCGTTCGCTTTGGAAACAAGGGTTCAATTGGTCAAATGGGTGGAAACCGGTTAAGTGTTAGTGGCGATGAACAGTCAATCCACCATGTTTTGTTCTTCTTTCGACTTTGGTGGATTGACCCAATTGGTGATGATTTGCAGTGGCGAACTGGTGTCGAATATAATGAACATTCTGCAAGTATTCGTTGCCAGGCAGAGTTTTGTCAAAGCCATGCAGGGCGCCCAAGGTTGACAACATGAGATTCCGAAAACTGCGGTTGTTTTCATGTTGAGCTTGTGGGAAACCAGGCCGAGGTTCATTTTGTGACCGTTTTGACAATGTCAATAGCCCGGCCCCATCAACTCACTTTCATCCCATGAGCAGGTTGTTTGTTTTTGTACTAGTTATGCGTTCAAAAAGGGAAAGCAGTCTTAGGTCTTAGGCAGTCGGGACAAGTTCCATGATGCCAAGGGCAGCCCTGCGCGCGACTCGAGGCGCTGTGGGTAATAAGGGCAGTCCACATGTGCAACTCAAGAGAAGAGTTTGAACTAGTGTGTGGAAGATACCCAATTCCCTGAGATCAACTGACGACGCCATTGACATTTTTTAGCCTTGTGGTTCGTTTCCAGTCGGTGTCCTTCTGCATAGTCAAGAGGCATGAAAGTCATACTCACCTACTGTTAAAGAGATTGTCGGCCAAGGATTTGCAACCAAAGGGTGCTGTTCTGAAATGTCGAAGAAAGACCTTCAAACCCAGGAATTGGCAGAACTAAAGCACTCAACCACCTCACATCTCAGGGTACTCGCCAGTGCTCGCACTCTCTCAGGTGGCTTGCGATTTGCCGCGAAGGCCCAGCTTGGATTCTGCAAGAGCTGAGCCGAGTCGGCTGTCCAATGCTCTAGCTACATGGCATTCACGCAAGTCCCCTAAGGTGGTGATCAGTTTGACAGGTCCATCTTTGTGGGACGTCTGTGAATATTTGTGATGCCTTAGAGAAATCCGGTGGCCATCCTGTGCCAACTTGTCTCTGCTAAATCTGCTTCAGGCAGGTTACACCTTCACCGGCCGAAGCTTTGCCCCGGCCTTTGCCCCGGCCTTTGCCCGAAGCTTTTCAGACCTGAGGCGCCTGGGGCGACAGTGGAACATGTTGAAGTGAGGCTTCATCAATAGCATTGATGCAGAGACAGAAGCGAAGCAGACCAACACAGCTTCAATGACAGTGATATTTTCTTCTTTGCCCTGGCTTCAGGTTTGCCCCCACTCACGAGTGGCCGGGCATCCCAAAATGTGGCAGCTTCTTTTCTGGATCACCTCGCCCAACACCATGTAGCTTGACCTTCCAGGTAGGTCAACCAAGATCAGGTCATTTCTTTGTACAGATATATTGCATGTGCAGTGGTCATATACCCATACTCCCTGGTACCCACCTTTGGTGAAGGACCATGGGAAGCGCCAGACTGGATGCGCAAGTGACGTCGGTAGGTCAACCAAGGTGTGCTGGTTTTGACCCACAGCTTCGTCAAGCAACTTTTGTCAACTTCCACCAGAGCTGCCCACCATTTCGTCCAAGCCCTGTCTGTTCTTTTGGACACCGACTTCAGCAAGCATCAACGAATCTTGGAAACACGTGTGGGAGGGGACGATGGATTTAGATTGGATAGTGTTTCCGAGGCCAGGTCTAGGCAGATACTTGCAAGCCCCAAACATGGAACATGGGATACATTGCCAGAGTCAAGCGAGCTGCAAGTGAATTGGTACAGGGGCTCCAATCTTGATCCTGCTTGGAGAGGTTGCTACTTTTTCCGTGGGCGACCGGAAGGAAAGATCATCATGAATTTGACGAGTTGTCCAAGTGTCGTGCGTTCTGAGGTTCAAGGCAGAAGGCGTGGGCTAGTTGAACTGATGAGAGACACCCAGCTGAAAGATCTGGATGTACAATCATCCCAAGGGTCCCAAGGGCCTTGTTGGTAAAAAGGGGACACATTGTGGTTCTCTTGAACACGTTCACCAACGCATAGGACAGGTCATCACGGCGATGCCCCGAACGAATTGGACGGATCCGAGATCCAAGTGCAGGTGATTCGGCAACCTTGGGCATTTCAGACTTCGCACAGGGGCAGCTGGGCGAGGCTGGAGGATTTCGGATGAGGGAGGTTGATGAGAGATACATAGAGGAACAGTGATGCGCCATATCGCCATATGATGAGATGGTGATATGGTTCCACATGGTTCCACTGAACACTTAACTTAACGAAGGCACTGAACAAGCATGGTGAACATGCTCATGGCAATAGTTCTTTTTCCGGCGGAGGTTTGTTTGCCCTGCTTTTGGCAGAATGTGTGAGAAAGTAAGCGGTACGGCGTATACCCAGAGTCCAGTGATTCTAGTGTTTGAACTTGAAAGCACACACGCCATTGAAGAGTTCACTCACACGCTAACAAGCAAAGCCGAAGAGCAAGTGGTGCAGAAGAGGAGGTCTTTTCCGGATTCCGGGAACCAGCAAAGTCACATGGGTCTCAGATAGAAACCTCGCGTTTTTGTGTTTTTGCTTTGCTGAATACTCTAGTGGCATCCAAGCACCCGGAGCTCGCGAGGTGGTCTACGTTGAGCTCCCGGAGGTTGGTTCCAAGGTCTCGGCCAAGGCTCCATACGGGGCCTGGGGGTCATTTTCTCAACATGACGGTCTCCAAGTAAGTAGTAAGGCCAGGAGCTACTAGTAGCGTACTCAACTACAGGATTTTCAATGGAGACTCACATACTGAAGATGCTGGACAAAGCGTTCTGAATGCCACGGCAACAGATCTCAAAGAACTCGTGTCCAGATCCGTAGCTGTAAGCAAGTTGCTGGAGTCTACTAGGAGTTGAGCACTGGACTGGACCACTCTGTTAGACCCAGGCCGCAAGACGACTTTGTCACCAAAAAAATCATGAAACAAACATACATTTAAACATATTTAAACATACTGTATTAATGTTATTAATGTTTAAACAACCAATAGCAACACATATTTGATATATCTATTTATGATGATATTATTTTTGTTCCCTTTTTTACAGTGTGATGACAACACGCTTTGCACCCTCAGTGTGATCTCGCCCAAGGACACGCTTTGCACCCTGGAAAGTGTGAAGGCTGTGGGTGAGGTCTACGCTCCCGTGGATTGTGAGGCAGTGCAAGGAACTGTTTCGATTGACATCTGAGTGAGATCGGTTTTGGGCTACTAGGAGCAAGAAGCTTCTAGGGGCTCCTGGCATCGCTACTAGGAGGTCATAGGAACAAGAGCGCTACTAGGAACTTTGAGACTCCATTCCCATGAGCGTATTGGTATTCCAAGCACGGCTCTTGTGAGACCTGAGTCGTTTTGGTTCCGGAGTCATATTGGTGACATGAAAGCGTGTTGGGGTGCATGGTCAGGTCACTGCGGTGAACGAGAAGCTTCAAGATGAGCCCGCCACCGTGAACAGCTCCCCAGAAGAGGAGGGCTGGCTGGTGAAGGCGGGCGTCTGAATCCTTTCAGTCCTTTCATTGGCTATCACGACACACTTGTGCTTGAATATTGATACCGTGTTTGGGTTCCAGGCCACTTGAGTCATGTATCATATACAGATTTGCTGTGCACGTTTCGACGTGCCTCCTCCCAGTGTGGCGCACGGATCAGTGGTTCACTGGTGCCTCAGGTGAAGTTCACTGGTGATGTGAGCTCCCTCATGGATCGCAGCATACCCAGCATGGTCCGGTCCAACCCCCCGGACCTTCTGGACAACAGCAGAACGAACTGCGACGTTTACCCAAGTGGCAAACATGTTCTAAGGCGCTGCATATGAGAAGCACTTGGAGTCTGAGAAGACGGAGGAATGATGAGGCCGACCTTGAAACTCAAATCGCTGAACGGGCCACTTAGAGGAGGGATGAACATGAACACATTTTTTTCATGGCCAATTCGCACTTGCATATCACCAGAGCTTTTGACCTTTTGCATATCTCTTCAGCAAAAGTAGGCGAAGTGAGGAGCGCGCTAATTTAGAGCGGACGCTGCGTTTTCCTGGAAGCGAAAGGAAAGAAAGGAGTCAGATGCGTGAGCCTGAAAAAGCAATGGCCATGGCATGCCATAGCCATCATGGCGATTTTGCTCCCAGCAGTGAATAGTGGTGACTTTACCCTGGAACGTTTCCTTCCTATGCTTGTAGTAGCACTGTGATATTCAGCATTTGCTTGCATATCATTTGACCGAACATTTGCTGAACCCTGTCGTCCGGCACACATGGCTGTGTCTATCTAGCTTCTGCTTTCGACAGCTGGCATGGGCATGCGGCAAAATCCTGAAGCTGCTAAGACAGTGTTTGAATTATATAGAGTCATCTCAAGCAGGTTTGGATTGTAAAACAGAGAACATGAAAGTTACCAAGACTCTGTGTACTCAAGACGAGGCATCATGCATGGAGGGATATACCACTGGGGCTCAAAGTAAAGATTGTTAGCATATATTGGCAGCACCAGAAGACTGCCAAGGGTGCTCTGAGGCAAATATTCTGACTTTTGCAAGTCGACAAGTTCGGGAAGAGACATGAACAAACAAAAATAGTGATTTGCCAAATTGACGCTACTCCCCTTCTTTTCGATGTTCAGCCATGCGCTTTAAACGCCATGCCAGTGCTGCCTTTTTGCTTCTCGGTTATAGACCCAGTGGCATTACGGAGTCCTTCCCGTATAAGAGACAGCAAGCTCCCTGGCCTCTAGCCACGTTGGTGGAGCTATGCTTCAGAATTGGCAGCCAAGTTCTCAAGGATTGAACTCCAAAGCCTTTCGGTGCGGGACCCGCAGCATACCCTTTGCCAGATGCCATACCTATGAATATCCGATTTGATCCCCCAAACTCCCACAAATAAGAAACGCACTGAAAGAAACGATTCATTTTCGATTCGTTTGCTCTCTTGGCCCAGGCTGCTGATAGCTGTAGTGCTCCTGGCGCCGAAGCCGTTTGAGGTCTCTGCCTCACCCTTCGAGTTTGCCACGAGGCGCGACTTCAGGGTGGTGCACTTTTCCAACTGGCTCATGAATGTCAATAGGCTCCACCATGATTGCAGTTGAATAGATGGAATACAACAGATGTGTTCAACATTTGTTGAAACGTGGCTATCTTGTTAGAAGAAAGACATGCAGGAAGCAAAAAGGAAGGGAGCAAGAGCCGAATGAGCAAAAAGTTTGACGGCAACTGGGAATCGAGTGCATGGTCCACTCCCTTGTAGCCACTGATGACAGACTTTCATGTTTATTCAATCCTTGACACCGCAAACTGCTTTCTAGGTACTACGAATTTGACCGGAAGCGGCTACGATGGTTGTGGTGGCCTGCAATTCTTTATTTGCCACTTTACAGCTCTTAGAGCTTGAGGCCATGTGATAGTCAAGATCAGAACGGGCATTATAATTCATGGACTGAATGAAGTGTGATTCACTTCGACTCCTTCAGTAGTATCTTGTGAAAGAATCGACTATTTCTTTGTGTGAGGTTTTGGGGTATGGCTCACGTGCCTTGGCAATGTGAACAGCTCACGTGGCTTCCGGGTGAATCGAGCTTGCTGAGCTCTTGCCACTTATGGACCCAAGGCCCAAGGCTTTCAGTTCTTTATCCTATGTATATAAGTTCTTGAGATCCGGGGTGCAGAATTAAGTGTAGAGCCGGACCTTCACTCCGTCATCGAAGGGAGAGGGGTTCAAGTGTCAACCAAATTGAGGCACAGGATGCACTCGTTTGTCACGAGGTGTGTGACATTTACTTCGTGAGCTCCATTGAAGTCTTCAGCAAGAAATTCAAGATCCCGGACGATGTGGGGCCGACGAGAAAGACATGATTTCCATTGATTTCCATGTTCAGCAACACTGCCCTTTCAGTGTAGCCGCCCATGTGATGACTGGTGTGATTCTTGTGAAATGATGCGAAAGGAGCCTTTGAACCACTCAATACCATACACTCAAGCAGATTTTGAAGGTGCACGTTCGTCCCATGGCAATAAGTTGTAGCTCGATCTGACATTTAGAGTTACCTCCTACGTACATCTTCCTACAGTGACAGTAACCACCTTCCCTTCTTGACTAAAAGGCAGCGGTTGCTTGTGAGACATTCAGCATCGTTCAGCGCCTCTCACCATGTGCGAATCATGGTCTCTGCAGGTGGCGGGCGCAACGCTCATGGCCCTGGGGTGCAATGGGCCAGAACTCTCCTTGAACACGTCACTGAGCGGGACCGGTATAAACAGGCGTGATATATTAAAACCTTTGGGTAGTTAATTATGTTAGCATAATCCGTTTGTTTTTTGTTCCGAGCAATACTGGATCGAGGTTTGCTTTGATGTTGGCTTGCAGGGTGGTCCTTCTGAAGAACAATTCAAGAGTGGCACTTGTTTGGGCACCAGCTTGATCCGCATGTCCAATCGCTGAGGATTGCGATTTTCCAGCCCTCCAACATCGGTGTAGGTGGGATCTCTCAGTGAGTTCAACAGACTCTCGTTGCAACCTCAATGAAGGTTTGTAGGGGATACGGGATACGCTTTTTTTCTTGTGCTCAGAAGAACTGGCACAGGCATGGGAAAAGAGCCATGAACATGATGGGAGATGTGAGATTGGAGACTGGAGACATTGATAATAGCAAACATTGTTACTACTAGTAAGGCACTTGTTACTACTAGCGATGCACTTGTTACTACTAGCTTCTTTCGTATCTCTTTATTCAAACTTTATTCCCTTGAGATTCAGCACTTGTTGCGGATGAACTGCAGCACTGCTTCTCTTACACTTTCGCACCCTGACACCCATACATCGAGTGAAGTTGGCGGTCAAACAGAAAGTGAAATTGGCGAACGATGGAAGATGATGGACCTTTTCTTTGAGAGCAATCAAGACCACTTGACCCTGCTTGTGGTGTTTAAGTTGAATTGTGCTAGCAGATGATACTTCTAACTTCTGACTGTGATGCTGCTCACCTCTACATTGTTTCAATGAACTGATGTCAGATTTTCTGACTTTTCCGGAACTGTGTACTGATGTCACCAAGGATGTTTGTTCGTTCATCATGCAATAAGGCAAGCTACACCAAGGTGCTGTGATCGGGGGAGAGGTTTTCAACGTTCTGGTCATTATCGGGACCGCCAAAGTTGGGATCTGCATGTTTGCTGCCAGCTGCTAGCTAGCATCTTCACTCTATTCATTGCCTAAATGAATCAGACTAATAAATTGGTGCAGCTATACGCCTTCCAGCCATGCCCTTGGTTTGAAGAGAGACCAGAGAAGCAACACTTTTCATGGAATCTTTCCATTAATTGAACTTTGCGTGTTGAAATGCTGAAACGCACAGATCAGACTGGTTCTAATTGCTTCATGTCAGATGTCCTGACACCGGTGTTGGTGAGGACTGCACTGCTGGCGACTCCAGAGGACATCACCCGGTGCTTCCGGTAAATGATGGGTTGCAAGTCCCCAGGACCCTGGTTGACCCCCAAAATTTGGGAATTAGATTTTGACACTCGAAATCGAGGAAACAGCAGGAACACATGTGGATTATCATGGGTTGGTTCTTGCATTTGAGTTGGCCGACAGTTGTCAGTACTGCTACATGCTGCTTGACTTGATATTTCCGGTACCAGGAGTACATGCCGCTGCGCGTTGGCCAGTATTCATTCTGGCGCAACTCGCACGCTGGGTGTGGGAATCCGTTTGGGCATTCTTCCTGGATCCCTGAACTGGTTGATTAAGACGGTCCGAACATACTTTTGGAGATCATACGGCGAAAGAGGAATGCCCTTTTTGGGGAGATCTTCAAAAGATTTCGGTGTCCGTGCAGATTTTCACAGCTGGGCTTGCTGGGCCGCATCGTTGGGACAGATGAGGCGATGTGATTTTCTATGCGATCTCTGTATTGTTGCTCTATCACGCTCTATATGATCGCGTGATTGATGTCTGGAATGTAGCTTTCCTTCTCTCTGGCGGCCTTGCCTTTTGGTGAAAGATGGTGGGTAGGGCTGAAGACATTGCAAGCAAATCAAAGAACAGTAATTATGTGGTTTGATCACTTGTGGCTGATGTTGGATTGTACAAAGCAGGTTCTTTCATTTGACGATCAAGGGCTTACAGTGCTGAAGCAACGTAGATATTCTGAGGCCTACGTGCTGACCGTTGTCTTCTCCGGCAAGTTCAGAAACTTCTTCCGACAAAAGAAGAGGCAGCTTCACCATCACCGACAGAGATCGAAAGATACTGAGAGTGTCTTGGGCAGAGCTTGGAGAAGAGATTTGATGCTTCAGCATTTGCTTCTTGTTACTATTACTAGTAATGCACTTAGCTACTAGTGGCTAGTAGCTTCTTGCTACTAGTAGCGATGCACCTTGTTACTAGTAGATTCTCGTTACTAGTAGTAAGGCCAGGAGCCCCTAGTAGCGTCCTTGCTCCTAGTAGTGATGCCAGGAGCCCCTAGTAGCTTCTTGTTATTGAAGTCATTTCAGATCATTTAAGCAAGTCCGTTTTATCACCCTGAAGTATCGAAGGATTTCTCTAGCATGTGAAAACGTTCTGAACTCTTGTGGCCTCTTATTGTTGGGCTTGTGGGACAAAGCAGGTCTCACCAAGCTTGTCAAGTAGCGCTTGCTGCTAAGGTGGTGTGTACTCCATGACGTCAGAATGTCAGGCAACCAAGCACTTGAGGCTTGCCGAAAGCCCCGACATTGACGACGAAGCCTGCTATTTCACTTTTCACATTGAAACCAGAGCTTCAACAGTTTGACCGGCTCAGACATCATTGAGGAATCACCCATTTCATGCCATTTCTGCCGTCTGAGGTTCTGACTCTCCTGTGGGTGCAGGCGGTACTGTATACTACCGAATGTCCCTTGTCTATCACTTTGACTTTCCTTGCCTCGTTGTGCAGCGTTTGTGCTATCGACCTGTGTTCACCAGGTCGCCAATGCTGAATCCCCGCACAAACCAGCCGGATCCGCAAAAGGCTAGGCGCCGGTTGGCGATGTTTTGTTGCAGTCCTGGCTTTCACCGAAAGCCACCGATGATTCATAGCTCACAGATTTTGTGGTGCCTATTGCCAATGACTTCGTTGCTCCAAACCGCAACACTGCAGAATCACACCTTGAACCGGCAGTGGCCAGCTGCCGGTCAGGTGCTTTACTGGAACCAAGCTAGCCAAAGTGCTGATCCTTTCAGCAGCTTGGCAAGAAGTTGTTGTGGCTGCTGAACCTCTATACAATGAAACATACGGTAGCACTTGCATTGTGAATTGTAATCATTGAACTTAAAAGGCTTCGAAGGGCTCAAGCGCTGTAAACCAGTTTGCCATTGTTTGCAACAATTTTGGAATCTTCCAACTACAACAAGTATTTTCCACTATTGGCGTTACGTGGCCTTTGACTTTTCGATCCAACCCCCTTTGCGTCACATGTTCACCCGTCGCAGGTGGCAGCGTGCTTCAGATCCGAACAGAGATGCGGAATCGCTTGATGGACCGGGCGGCCCGCAGCGATTGGCGTCGCTGGGCCCGGAGGAAGAATGAGCTGACATTGCTTGAGGATACTTGAGGATAGTGAGACTTGAGGATACTTGAGGTCCATTTTTGTGACAAGTTCCTCAAGAGGTACTGGCTTTGCACACAGCCAGCTTTGCTTGTTCAGAATATTTGTACACTTTCTTATCTTCTTGTGGGATCCTTTGGCATGCGCTTGTTTTCTACGTTGCTCTGTCTCATATTCCAACCGATCTATTTTCTACACACAACCATGAATCCAGCTCCTGATGGGCTTAGGTTATGTTGTGCTCTTGGAGAGTGCTTTGGTGGTGAGTACCCTGATTGACCCGAGGAGACCCGTCGAAACGCAGTGAGTTTGGTGGTTTCAACTGCACTCGCAACGCCCTTCCAGAAGCCATCTTCATGTTCATCAGGTGCTTTGAGGTGCAAAGCTCTTGACCGTTTCATCAGTTTGATGCAAAACTCTGAAGTTTCTTTGAGCCCATCAGCTGAAGTTGCATGCTCGGACAGGACTTACGGTTCCGACATGAGTCGGTGTGCATCTGGCATGGTCTTCCAATCAAAAGACACTGAGACGGGTTGGCATCACGGTGGCTTGGCTCCTTGGACCGCAAATCCTAGAGATCTCAGAGAAGTTTGGAGAAGACATTGTCGACCATTGGGCAAGTTCAGCTCTAATCCCACTGGGCTGAGATCAACAAGCCGCGGCAGTTTCCGGCACGGGCCAATACAGACTCCCCCAGCGCTTCTACTCAAAACCTTGTGAGCTGCTTGGATCAGGGAGAGATTGAGGGATCAAAGGGAATCACTTCTGAATGACAGTACTTGGACCACTTGGATATCGAGAGTTCTCAAGCTGCAACAGAACTGGTTGAAGATGGTAAACGCAGGTGCCCAGGGCCAAGGCTTTCGCGCCAGAAAGCAGTTTCCGAATCTGGTTATGAACCATAGAAGATAGGAGGATACCAATGCTATGTGGACAGCTAAGGCAAGCAGGAGCATATGCCCTCGATGTTCCGCGCAAGTCCATGGGAAGTGATCCCGCTTGAGGCCCTGCACATGAACTGCTTTGGACAGTTTTGGCTTGCTTGGATGCTTTGGCATTCATTTTATATGGTGACAGCTTGGAATGGTCGCTGCCTCACACTTTGTCAAACATAATTAATGATATGGCCGCCTGTGGAAATGATTGTCGCCACCCGCCACCTCTACATTGCTTGGTGAAAGCCTGGACTCAGCAATCCATCCATCCATCCATCCATCCATCCATCCATCAATCAATCAATCAATCAATCAATCACCAACCGAGATTGTCAGCGCAGCTTGGCCCACAACAGGGCTTGTTCGCGTGTTGGGATAGTCTAGATGTGTTACAATCGGGACTGTGATACAGAAGAATGCATTTTGGCTATAAGTTATACTGTAAGCGTTTGTCTTTTATACAAAGTCCCCGACTCAAGGCTTGTTTGTTCTGCAGGATATCATTTGGATGGAACGACCACTCGCTGATCGCACGCGCCACACGTCTGCAATTGTTGAATCTTGCCTTTAAACCCCGACGTCATGATGTCATGTGATGTTAGCTGGACACTTGGATGGCACTGAACGTGCTGCTTCCTTGGCTGAGTTGGACGTTTCAAACATGCATCGGATGCACCCAGGATTCAATGTGCACGTGCACATGCATAACTCTGACCTTGCTCAGCTGATGCCAGTGGTCCTTCTTGAGTTCATTGCCACAAAAGAGGATGGAAGCTGAGCGGTCATGGTCGTTTGCTTTTAGACATCCAAGAACTTTGCACGACATCGTGATTTTGCAGTCAGTGTTTGGTTTTGACGATTGGGAGGCATGTTCACAGAAGACTTGATGTTTGCCTATTTTTGCAAGTCCAGCTGCATTCTCAGCCTCAAGTGTTGCAATCCCAACTCTTGTGGAGATGGCTGCCATTCCTTTTGAGCTGCTGGCTGACTTGGAGTCTGGCAATGAAAGCCGGCTGGCGAGGGCCTCAGATCCCCGCAACCGCGACTTGCGAAAGCCAGCGTGACCAAAACGGCGACTTGTTTGGAAATGTGACATGTTTCTAAACTCCACAGCAAACAGCGGAGTCAGAGGTCGATCATGGTCGAACGGTTTTTGAGTTGACTTCGAGGTGAGGGATTTCAGGATGAAGTTGGCAGCACTTGGGGAGTGCCGGGGAGACCCTTTGATGCAGCGCAAAAGCTTGGCATCGGTGGAGTCCTGTGTCTTCATGAATCCAGGCGGCCAAAGAGACAAAGTTACAGGGAGGATGGGTATGGATGGGTGTGAAGTTTCTTGCTTCGGATTTGTCAAGTCCGCCGCCGGACCGTTCATGTTTCGATCCTTGATGTTTTCCGCTGCCATCAAGGGATCCCTTCGGCCAATCGTGGCACTGGAAGCCCAAGGCCTGTGAACAGGCCGGACCCCGCGACACTCGCTGTTCGCCATAGGTGGAAAAGACCGCCTTCGGTCGCATCGAGAAGTGTACCAAGTTTACTTCGCTTTGTGTGCCACCGGCTACCTGACATTGGTAGCGGAGCCGGGCGGTCCTGCCTGGCTCGCTCGGTCTGCTGACCGGGCTTTGAGATCAAGTCCTTCGAGGCCGACCTCTCTGAGAACGGTGGCCTCGCCTACGACTACGCTAGAACTCCATCCTCGAGGATTCCGATAAGCTCTTCCTGGCGCTGCTGCCTGCTGCTGAGGAGAGCTCTACTCCCTGGTCACCTCCCTCGACCTGTTTGAGAAGGACCTCATGAGTTCGAAAGACTTCAAAGAGGTTGCTAGTTGGAATGGTGAACCAACAGGTTGGAATGACTATGCACGACAGGTTCGCCTTTGCTGGGAGAAGACACCAAAGCACAAACGCAAGCTCTTGGGGCCGGAATTGGCCAGCAAGCTCACTGGAAGGGCATGGGCTGTGACTCCGAGCTTGGACCACAGCAAACTTGGGAAGCGCAACGGCACCAAGTATCTCTTGAAGTACCTCCAGGAGCGCCTTTGCCGCACGGCCATCCCAGATGCTGGAGCAAGGTTGGAGGATCTGCTGATCCGACTACGCAGGCCATTAGGAATGGCCATGAGTCAATGGGCCAACGAGGTTCTCGAGGGCTACAGGAAGGTTCAGAGAGCTCTCATCAGGGCACGACAGCTTCAGAGATCCAAGGACAAAGAAGAGGTGAAGAGTGTCTCGGAGCCGCATCAAGAGCCTCCTACATCTCCGACGAGGAGGACACCCACTTCGAGCCCTACTCACCGGACGACCCCGAGCCCAACACGCAGAACGGCTGGATATGGAGCGGACCCTCAGGCGACCATTCAAGAGTCTGAGGATGAGCAAGGTGACTATGCCGCGATCCCTCAACGAGATCCTCATGAACGTGATGATGAAGATGACCACGTCGGTCAAGGTTGGACTGACGCGGAGTGGAGAGACTGGAGGAGGCAACAACGCAAAGACTGGTACGACGACGACTCCAGTTCTGGTGAAGATCTTCCTTGGGATGAGCTGCAAACTGAAGAGATTCAGGTCTTGCCGGACGAAGTGCTAGGTTGGCTCTTGCTTAGACGAGCCAACTTGAGTGCTGCATCACGTTTGTCGGTGCAGGCTTCTGTGAACAACTCCCTGAAGTTCCAGGACATTGAGGTGGCGCTACGAGATCAGGAAGAAGAACTTCTTCAAGCGGATCAATCTCGAGGACAGCATCATGGCAAGCGCCGCACTTACTGGGTTGAAGAAGAAGGTCAATGGGGCCTGATGGCCACGACTTCTGAGGAGGTGGATGATGCAGCGGAGATCCATTGGGTTGGACCTCAACTTCCTGCTGAAGTATACGACCCAGGTGTTGGCAGCTCCTTGGACACTGAGGAGGACGATGTGTTCTGGACTTGGGAGATTGACGGATGGCATGGATATTGCCAAGATGCCTATGGGTACTGGCTCGAGACCGATGGACATGGAGCCTTTTGGAGCGCAGATGAAGGCTATTCCGACCTGAACCCCGAGGAGGTCAAGGAGCTGGATGAAGCCTATATGGCCTATGAGAACAAAGCTCGCACCTTCATGCAGAGCCGCCAACTTCAGCGAGCTAAGGGTGCTAGCCGAGGATTCTACCCCCTCGGAATGATGAAGGGCAAGAAAGGAAAATCGAAGGGTAAGTTCAAGAAAGGAAAGGGGAGCGGAAGTTTTAGCTCCTCGAGTTCTTCGTCTATGCAGCCTAAGCCGCTATTTGCAGCTCAAGGTCAAGATGGTGGACCATCGACCTCTTCGAGTGTGGGATGCTTCATCTGTGGAGACAAAGGACATGGCTTTCGAAACTGTCCCAAAAGGACATCTTCCTCGAGTCCTTCATTTGGAAAGGGTTCAAAGAAAGGAACCTACTGGGTCGAAGCCCTGACTGGATCCCCTCTTGCCTTTGTGGGCATGGCCATGGACGAAAATGAGGTGATCCACAACACAGATGGTTATGGTGTGCTGGATTTGGGGGCCACAGAAACTGTTGGCTCTCTTGAAGCCTTGGAAGCACTCATGATGATTCGCAGCACTGTCCATGGAATCCAAGAGCCGGTGGAGGTGTTCACTGGACCTTCATCGAAGAAACCTTTTCGCTTCGGCAATGGTGGAGTACAAGTCTCCTCAAGCTATGTCATGGTTCCCCAGCGCCTGGGTGATAGATTAGTGTCACTTGGTGTGTACACGATCGACGCTGAGAAAGTGCCCATCCTGATCGGCATGAAAACGCTTGAGAAGATGGGAGCGTTGATTGATGTTTGTGGCCGCTGGTTGGTGCTCTCTGCCATCTCGCCTGAGGTGAAGATCCCTTTGGCTAAGAGCCGAGCAGGTCACTTGTTGGTGAATCTCACCATGGATTGGCTCAACGTGAGTCAACCTTTGAAGAGCGCTGGAGACCATCGAGTGTACATGGAGCCTTGTCGAACGTCGTGGTTGCAAACAACTCCACTCATCACGAATTCCTTTCAGTCAGAGCATGTTTCCTGCAGTTCATTTCCGCTCACGTCGTCAGCTTCAGCTTTGACTTGTGATGTTGTTTGGATGATGAGACATGAAGGCGAAGAAGGTAGTCCAGGTGAAGACTTGCATGGAGACGGAGTTTTTCTTTTAGATGATCACCACGAACTTCATCCGTTGCCTTCAGTGACTCAAGAGATGAGAGACATCATCCTGCAACAGCTCATCAGCCCAGAGAGCGTTGCATCCCCGGACTCTCCTCGCCATGGCGCCCAAGAAGGAGAAGGTGGCATCGACGAAGAAAGCCATCCCGGCCGAGGAGAAGTACGACTGGTCGAGGACTCAAGGGCCCGACAAGGAGGATCCACGAACCTCCGGGCCACCATGCCACGGAGAGCATGTGGAAGCTCTCCCAGGCAAGGGCTCAGTCACGGGGAGCAACAAGTACGCGTGCTGGACAGGATGCCAAGCATGCGGACTGAGGCTCAGCTACACGCCGACCTGGGGCAGTCATGGCCTATGCAGACAAGCTGGCCCTTTGCATCAAGACACCACCAAACAGCTCGAAGAGAAGAAGCCGGCAAAGGGTTCTGTCGACCTTGTGAACAAGAAGATTGGCTACGACGCCCAGGAGCGCAGCATCATGGACCAGCTCAAGATGGTCCAGGCCAAGAAAGAAGAGTGGCTCAAGACTCAATCCATCAAAGACAAGAACTTCAAGGAGAACGAGTCGAAGGACAACGACAAAGGCCCGGGGAAGGGCTACACAAAGGGCAAGGACCAAGGGAGCTCAAGTCAGCATCAACCGGAGACAAGTCTGATGTCTTCCGGACCAATCCCGAAGGAGAAGACTCCGGCGGTCCTGCTTGCCGAGGAGATGAGCCACACGCCTGGTCGCAAGAGCCGCAAGCCCGAGGAGACAGCGGAGGAGTTGGAGTATGGTCAGAGGCTCACAGAGAGTCCGGAGTCGGAATCTTGGTCGATGATCTCAGGTCAGCCGGGCGGAAGAACACAGTGAAGAACATGTCGGAGGAGGACAACGCCCGAGGACTGAGCATGACTGTTTCACAAGCATGGAATTCACCTACATCATCGCCACCACCTATGGCTGAATCGACCGAGATGGTCTTGGAAGAGAACCTCACCTCTGAGGGAGAAGGAGATTTCACCCCTGATAGCATTTTGCCATCAGGAGACATCGGCATTTTGCAGATGGACAACCCTTCCAATGGTAAGCGAAAGAAGAGAGACCAGGATGACAAAGGTCTTCGTCAACAAGCTCGAGAAAGAAGAGAAGACTTTCCTGGTCGATGAGGTGGAAACCTATTTGGAAGAGGTTGAAGAGCTCATGATGACCTTGACGACCACGAACAACGATGGTAGACCACCCACAGTTTTGGAGCTATGCTGTGAGGAGAACAGTGGGATCACTCGTGCACTGGAGCTTCGAGGAGGAAGAGGAATCCGTTGTGGATTGTTCAATGGATGTGATCTCAACAAGAGAAGTGGCTTCAACAAAGTTATGAGCCTCATCCAAGAGGAGAAACCGGATGTGGTATGGGTGGCACTACCATGTGGTCCGACCTCGCAGATCCAGGAGTTGAACATGCTTACTCCTGAAGGCTATGAGAAGATCCAAGCCAAGATCGCCAAGTCTCGAAAGCTGGCAACCAGAGCGGTGACTTTGATGGAAGCCCAGCTCAAGCGAGGTGGAGAAGTGGCACAGGAGTGGCCACGACACAACAAAGGTTGGAAGTTCAAG